GGAGACAAGCTGGCCTAGCTTGGAGTATGTGCTTCATCTCCAGAACTGGGCCTGGAGCCAGGTCCCCTGAATCCCATACAGCAGTGAGGACTTTTGAGAAGAGGGAAGTGGAAACCAGGGGATCAAGCAACGTTGGTTGGGAGTTGGATCACTCCACTGAAACTCTGTGCATGAAAAATACAGAATTTCTCAGCGACCCTTTTTCCAGGATCTGAATCTGGAGGCTTCTCTTAGGCGGGAGGCAAAGCCAAAAGCTCTGAAACTGCTGCTGCTGCTGCTGCTGACTGTGAGACAGAAGGTCACAGAAGCCAGTGGGCACCTCTTTCTGAGTGTCTTGCAGATCACCCTATGCTAGTGCAGCAGGGCACACAAGAACATCTTGACCCTTAAGGAAAGATGACACTAAAGCACTGGCCACAACAGACAGCAGGGATTACATGCTGGTTTATGTGGAAAACATTGGAGTAATCATGGAGGGCTTCCTGGAGCAGGTGGGAATTTGTGCTGGATCTTAAAGGACTGATCTCCAGGGTAGGGTGTGCATACCACAGAGGATGTGCAGGATGTGATATGGGGCTATAGAAACAAAATGATTCAAGATCTATTTAGGTTTACGTTTTATTTGAAAAAACAAGATTATGGATATTTAATATACAGATTGACAGTTGTTTAATTAATATACACTGGTTTAATTAACATAAAACTTTACACACATTGGAGGCACGTGTTACCTTTTTTTCTTATAGGAGTGGGCATTTTAAAAGGTTCAGGGACTAAAATTGCCTTGAAGGGTGAAGCCTAGGATAAGCAGAAGTCAGGATGAGTGCCCATGGGGCCTTGGAGAGGGTGTGAGGTAGGAAGCCAGAAACCCCTTCCCTTAGCCTGTGTCCTGCTGGGAGCCAAGGAACCCAGGGCCCAGCGGGACCATGTCCTGCCTTCCTCAGGTGGCCAGATCCACGGTGAGCCTCCTCCCTTGGCCAGGCCCTGCTTAGAGAACAGCCACCAGGGAGGGGTCTTACAGGGCTGTCGCTGAAGCCTGCCACCAATTCTGCCATCCGCAGCAGCCCCGATCCCCGCGCCTCCATGGGAAGAATGTGGGAGCCCACAGCCAGTGAGTCACGGCGCACAGCCCATGGAAAGGGCCCAATGCTCGCCACGACCTTTGGGGTTTGCCATGCTGTCCTGGTGCCCACGCCAGAGGGTATAGGGTGTCCAGTCTCCACGAGGCACAGCAGGCCCTAAAGCTGCAGATGGCTATATAAGGCTGCGGCCGCAGGAGGTGGCAGGGGCTGCCAGACCCCAGGAGCAATTTGGCGGGTCTCGGTGGTGACGCAAACATTTTCCCTGTGCTTAGGCAGTTCTCCCCTTGCAGTGAGACTGAATCATATCCTCAAAACCTCAAGCCCGACAGGCGCACGTAATGCCGACACTCAAGAGTGGCGAGGAGGGCTGACCCAGGCCTTCCTTCAGGGCGAAGAGATATTTGGGGCAACACTAGGAAAGCTGTCTCAGGAGAGCTCTCTGCCACAAACTGTGGGGTCTGGTCAGCTTCCTGGGGCCTCAGTTTCTGCATCTGTAATATGGGGATAGTAAGCCCTGTTCTGCCACCTCATGCAGTGCCACGGACACCAGAGAGATCAGCTCTGGGGGAATGGAGATGGAGGTAAGGGCTGGCTCTTGTTCTTTGTCTTGTAGCAAATTCGGGGTCCCTGAGACTTGGCAGATTTACTGCCTACATGTCACATGTTGACCATTCCCAGGACACACAGCTCTGGGAAGCCAGCAGTCTTTGTGCAGAGCTCACCTTGATCCAACCCCTTCTGTTTCTTGGTGTCCTTTGACATCGGTGACTTTCCACGGTGCCCCTGAGAGGTAGGCAGTGCAGGAATTGCTAACCCCATTTCCAGCCAAGAACACCAAGGTCTAGAAAGGTCAATGACTTCTCAAGGCCATAGGACAAGCAGGTGACCGAATCAGGATGAAGACCCAGCCTCTGGATTTTCAGCCCAAAAACCTCACCCTGTGTTGGGGTCCCTCCGAGCCGGCCAGGGGGTCTAGGGTCCCTGTCTGTAAAATGGGAAGAAGTGTGGGGAATCTGCCTGGTCAGGCTGCCGGGGTGTTTTCTAAGAAAAGGTAGCTTTTCTGGGAGATGGCCATGGTTTCCTCATCCAGAACCCGCTGTGCCTGATCCCCAGCGGCACCCTGCAAGCTGTTCCTCGAAGGCACTCCTTCCAGACAGCACTCCCCTACAGGCAGGGTGTGCTGGAGGGCACATTCCTCTGGAAGACTCGCTGCACTATCAGGTTGACCTTGAACACCAGAGCAGCCAGCAAAGCAAGCTTGGCGCCTAAGCCGCGCACACTGACACCTCTCTCTCCCTCTCTCTCTCTCTCTCTCTCTCTCTCTCTCTCTCTCTCTCTCTTCTCTTTCTCTCATTTCCTCTAGTTCCATTAATCCACATATAACAGGGAGGTGGAGTTTCCTTTCAGCCACTTCTCAAACCTCCCCGTCATTTCAATGGTCCATTCCACTAGGTTCACAGGTTAACATTTCCCAGTATTTTGAGTGTTGTTTTAGTGGATATTTTATTTTAGAATAGTTCCAGATTTACATTAAAATTGTGAATATCCATGTACACCACAAAAATCACATTGTCTAGACAAACAGATTTTATGAGCCCTATTAATTCCTGCCAGTCCAAAATGGGCATGCTTAATAAGTGATATATTTAGAATCCGTCATTATCTGGTCCCCAGGGGAGAAACCTCAGCTCTTATTTCATAGACTCTTAATTTCTAACAGAGCTCTATTAACTCCCACTTCAGACCTCACTTTCTTTCCTGACAGCACAGAGAGGCGGGGAGGGGGAGGCGGGCCGGGGGGTGTGACCACCAGAAGACACCAAAGTCCTGTAGAGCCGGAACCTCCCAGCCTGTCCCCTCTCAACCCTCTTAGGTCAGAAAATGACTGCTTCTTCTTTGGGCCGAGTTGCCAGGGGGTGGGCAGCTGCTGGGGGGACAGGGCTCCAGAAAGGTGATCTTGCTCCCAGGGTCTCACCCGTACCTGTGCCCAAACCTCATGCTCATCTAAGCTCTGTCCCACAGGGCCTGGGAGGCACCCCTGCCCTGCCAGTGCAGCCTCCTGGGAGGGTTCCATTCTTGAGTCGCTGTTATCACGAGGCCCTGAGCAGAGGAGGCCGCTGCTGGCTGAGAGCTGGTCAGGCACCCAAAGCCTAGAGGGTTCCAGGTGTGCCAGAGGCAGGCGGCGCTGACAGGGTGGGCAGGGAGTCACTGAAGGGAAACCCCGCCTGCCCTCAGGGTTTCACTTTATATCAGCACTGGGTTTCCAGCTGGGGGGAAGGGAGGGGTAGCATAGAAGGGGCTTTGGGGAGCCATAGGGGGAGGTGGGATTCTCCCTGGCCTCAAGGGAGGTGCACTACCAGGTCTAGGCAAGCCAGGAAGGCGTGCCACTCATTGCTTTCTAGAAGCATGTGAGCAAGGTGTATTAACTTCCAGCGAATGCAGGACAAATTAGCACCAAGTAGATGGCTTACAAAAACAGAACTGTATTCACTCACAGTTCCAGAGGCCACGTACCCCAAACAAGGTGTCGGCAGGCCTGTGCTTCTACGGAAGGTTCTGGAAGAGAATCCCTCTGCCTCTTCCAGCTTCCGGGGGTCCCAGGCATTCTTTGGCTTGTGGCATCACCCCTCTCAGCTCTGCTCCCGTCTTCACGTGGCTTTCTCTTCTCAATCTCTCCTTCGTGTGTCTCTTATAAGGACACTTGCTGGGTTTAGGGCCGTTGGGGGAAGCCCCCAAAGTCTAAATTAATTCAGGATTGGTTCCGAAGAACTGACACGTAGCCTTATTCAAACGCATAAGAGCTTTAATAGGAGAAACTTACCTACATGAGCAAAGCAGTTGCGCTCCCAGGGGTGGCCGGCCGGGGGAAATCCCACCCCTCCCCAGACAGGGTCTCTTTTTATAGGGTGTTAGTAGTAAAAGCATATGGGGGGCGGTCACATAGACCACCAGAAAGAATACTGCGTTCCTAAGTTAACAGACAACATCGGGCAGGTATCCGCACTCTATCCATTCATTAGCCTCCTTCCAGGGGCCTGGCGTTCATCTTCCGGCGGCATTCCGGCTTTCTGGGTAGTCAGCCGAGCCTCAGGCTACAGTTAAACAGTCACAGAAGGTTTAACACAGAGAGTCCAACATATCCCAGACGCCTTTACTGCGGGAGCCATATTAAACCTCTACCGTGGGTTCCCTCCCAGGGTTAGTAATCCAGGATGACCTCATCTTGAGATCCTTAATTACAACGGCAAACACCCTATTTCCAAATAAGCTCACAATAGCACAGGCTCAAGGCAGAAGCCCCAGGTGGTTGGCTGTCCCTGGGCACTGTTGAGCCCTGCTGGCTGCCTGGCCCACCCTGAGCAAAGACTTAGCGGCTCAGGGGACAGTCATGACCATTGAGCAACATGCCCCTCATCTGAGTCACTGGCTGAAAGACTGTCAGGTAAGGTGAGGACAGAGGCCCTGCAGGGAGCCATGGCAAAGGCCCCATGGCTCCAAATCATTCCTCTGCCTGAAGGACCACCATTGCCACTCTCCTACCATTTGAAAAGCTCATATTCAACCGTTAAGGCCCAACTCAAGCATCACCTCCTCCATGATGTCCGCCCTGCCCTTCTCCAGGGACTGCCTCCATCCCATTTGTTGCTGCACCCATGTGGTCCTCATCTCCGTATCTCCACATCCTGGCAAGGGCCTGGAGTGGGCCACAGGCCCCTAGACTTTACACTGAAAGCCCAGCATCCCTCCCCCCGAGAGACAAAGGTCTCCGTCTGAAGGTCAGCATGTGGCCGCTCCCCCAGGACGCCCCCCACACACACCTCACCTTCCCCTCATCACTGCCCCCCAGGTTCCAGCCTTTACCAGGAAGGAGCACCTCCCCCAGCATCCTCACGTGTCTTCTCTTCCTCCCCAGGCTCGTCGTGGGTGCTCCGTTGGAAATCAATGGCCACCAGAAGACGGGAGATGTGTACAAGTGTCCGGTGACGCAGGGGAACTGCACGAAGCTCAACCTGGGTAACTAGGGGCTCTGGTCTCATCACAATGAGGCCAACCACTGTGTAGGGCGGGACAGGCGTAAAACACAGACTCACACGGGCTCCTCCCAGCTGGTTCACTGTCCCCGTTTTATAGATGAGGATGCAGAGGCCAGAGAGAGGAAGCCACTTCCCACAGTCACACAGCTTGTTGGAGGCTGGCCGGGAATCGAACCCAGGCCTCCAGTGTCCCAGGGCACTGCTCCTTCTGATTCACCCACTGCCCCTTCCCAGCAGGAGAAAACGCCTCCTGTCCCCTTTCTGATCTGGGAGTGCTAACAGCCACGCTCACATGCATACATCTCAGATAATGTTCACGCCTCATCGGGCACTGGTTTCAGCACTTTTAGATGTTTTGACTCATTTAATCCCCTATAAAATTTAACTATTAAACAAAGGAGGAAATGACTGCATGTGGAGGTGAGGGGGCCTGCCTGGGGTCCCCCAGCTAACCAGCAGCAAGGCTTGGATTTCACTCCAGGCAGTCTACTGCCACTACCTCACAGCGCCTTCTGAAGTGAAGGCTTTGTTCCTCTGAAGAGCTTTCAGCCGTAGGCGGTGCTAGGAGCAGCCTCCAGGCCTTCCCGGCCCTTGTAAAATTTGGGGGTTGGGGTGTTGCAGGGGGAGTGAGGGAGGCATTCCCTAAAGTACACACACCAGTCCTCTAAAGCATTTCCGCTTTGTCCTAAAGGTCAGACAGTGGCCAGGTCACCACTTACTCCACTTGCTTACAGAAGGGAGTAAAAGTTCCATTTGGGCTGAGAAGCCCCAGTTCCAGGCCTTGCCCTAGAGGACTGGCTGCCCAGGGCCGGGGCCCTGCGTCTCTCCCTCCTCCAGAAGGGGAGCCTGCACCCTAGCGCAGTGGGGTGGGCTCTGTGGGGAGGTGGGGGGTGGCAGAGCTCCAAGACGTAAGCAGATGGATGAAAAGGCCCGCATCAAAGAGAAAGCCCCAAGAACTCGATCTCAGTAGCGGCCCGCGGGGCGCACACTCCTGCTGCTCCTATCTGCATCAGCACCACGGGGGAAGTTCAAACCCCGGGACAGCGAGGCCCAGGCTTCAGGAGGAAACGGACTAAGGGGGTGGGGGCTGGCTGGTAGCTCAGGGACCCCGGCCTTCGCCACTCGAGAGCGCAGCTTCCAAAGCAGGCCACGCTGGATGTCCCCTCCCAGTGGGCAGTTTCTTCACAGCCCCTCTCTGAGCCCCTGTTTGCTTGTGTGTAAAATGAGGAGGGTGGACTCGATGATCCTGGGATCCATTCCAGTCTAGTCTGTCCCCCAAACTTTAATGAGCACCTAGTATGTGCTAAGCACAATGCTAGTTACTGAGGACACAGCAGAGAACAAGACTCCAAGGGCCCCGCTGGAGGAGACAATATGTGAGTAGACAAACTAGGATGAAGGTCAGTCGGCCCAGGTAGAGAGAAAGGCTGTGTGATAAACCAGGTGAGTGGGGAGGAGGCAGGGAGAGAGGGCTGCACCTTAGCAAGGTGGTCAGGACGGCCTCTCTGAGCAGGACGGCCTCTCTGAGCAGAGAGCATCTGAGCAAAGGTCTGGTGGTGAAAAGGAGTGAAATGGGACCAGAGCCTCCCAGCCAGAGGAAGACAAGTGCAAGGCGCTGGGGTGGGAATAAGCTCCCGCTGTGCTGGGCAGGGGGAGCAAGAGGCTGATGGGAGGTGCAGGCACTGGGGCCGGGGCTGGGCCACCGCTGCTCCGAGAGCAGCTCCTGGCCCAGGTGGGGACACAGATGCGTGAACCGATCGTTTAGTTTCCGCTGTTGCTCCGGGTTCCCATGTGGACCCAATTCCCTGCAGAGGAGGAGCCCCGCCGGCAGTGAGAAACCACTGGAACTGAAAACATTCCTGAGCCAGGACATAGCTGGGCAGCAAAGCGAGCCAGGCAGGGGTGTTCTTTCCCTCCACGGAGGAGAACACGCACAGCAGGAAGGCCATCTGTCAGCTTCTCCCGCAGTGGAAAATGCAAGGCGGGGAAACCTGAGTCCTGGATTTTCCCAGGGCCTTTCCAGGCTCCGAGCCCCCGGGAATGTGCCTTCCTCTCTCTCCGGGGGGGAATGTGCCTTCCTCTCCCTCCGGAAGAGTGCCCGGCAGTCACTCACACTTCAGTGTGAAAGACCACAGTGGGCGCTTTCTTCCCAACTCCTAGATGACCTTAGCGGGATTTTTTGTTTTTTAAAATATATTTGTATTATTGATTTCAGAGAGGAAAGGAAAGGGAGAGAGATAGAAACATCAATGAGGAGGGGGAATCATAGATCGGCTGCCTCCTGCACGACCCACACTGGGGATCGAGCCCATAACCTGGGCATGTGCCCTGACCGAGGATCTAACCGTGACCTCCTGGTTCTTAGGTCGGCGCTCAGCTGGCCGGGCGAAGTTAGGGTTTCAATGAGGAGCTGGGGTTCTGGAAGGCAGGCCCTGTGTGAAGAGAGGCTTGTGTCCCCAGACCCTCACAGAGACTCACTGAGGAAGGCACTGGTGTCTCCTGGTCACAGAGCGGAGGTAGTGGCTGCCCCAAATCCACAGGCAGCAGAAGCAGCAGAAGCAGGACTTGAGCCTGAGTCTTTCTGTCTTTCTTCCTCCAACACTACTGTTTTCTCTACCAGGCCCATCTGCCCCCCAGCAGGCGCAGCTTCACTGAGGACTTCAGTTACTGAGACTCAGGAGAAAGGGGAGGGGGGGGCAGGCTGAGGGAGGGACGCGCCCCTTAAGTAAATGGAGGGAGAATTCGTCAAGCCGATGAGGGGGGGTGTTGCCCAGTTGGGGCTAGGACCTTCCTCTCCAGGTTCCTCACTGCCATCCCAGTGCCAGCACAGCCCTGCCAACAGAGGGGAAGCTCAGGATGGAACCTTGAATATTCTGGGTTCAAGCCCCCACTCTGTCATTCACCAGCAATTGCCTTTGTAGAAGTCACTTACCCTTCATGCACCTTGATTCTTTTTTCATCTGTAAAATGGGAATGGTAACTTCTGGGCCTCCAGGGACCAAGAGGGGGTCCGGAGAGGGCCCGTGTGGATGGTGCTTTGTAAACGAGAAGAGACGGTTTTTAAAAGCACAGTTATGACTATTATTCTCTCTGGTGTCTCTGGGTAGATGAAACAGGAAGCTATCCCAGGCACAGCACAGCCGAGAGGGGCTGGATTTCAAAAGGAGCCCGACTACCAGCTGAGGGAGCCCAAAGGGAAACAACAACAAACACAGCTGCCCACCCCCAGCCACGGTGCAGTCAGGCAGCCATGGGCCTGGCCTCTGCTCATCTCTGTGAATGCCCACCCCCGGCCCCGGCCCCCGGGCCTGTGCCCAGAAGGCGGGCCAGCTCTCCATACCTCCAGTGCCAACAGTGCTAAATGCAAACCATGCTCCTGAGGCCTGGAGCCCCTAGAAATCACCCCCCCAGCTCCCCAGCCCCCGCCCCCGCCTAGCAGGGAGGACACTAGATCCTCCTCACAGCAGGAGGCTCAGGGCTCAACGAAATGCGCAACTTCTTTCCCCCAAACCCTCCCTCCAAGTGCCCATACCCATGTGTGCATTCACATGTGCACACTCGCGTGCGTGCACACGCACGCACACACACACACACGCGCGCACGCGTGCGCACGCATGCTTTTACATACATACCAACATGTGTCTGGGGAACTCAAGCTCATTTCCTTTCCTTCAGTGCCGTGGTCGGGAAACTGCGGCTCTCGAGCCACATGTGGCTCTTTGGCCCCTGGAGTGTGGCTCTTCCTAAGCCTTAGGAGTACCCTAATTAAGTTAATAACAATATACCTACCTATATAGTTTAAGTTTAAAAAATTTGACTCTCAAAAGAAATTTCAATCGTTGTACTGTTGATATTTGGCTCTGTTGACTAATGAGTTTGCCGACCACTGCCAGTGGCCTGACAGAATGATCTAATAAAACCTTAACTGACATAATTTATTTAGTAATTCTGATCTGCCACACCCCCTCCCTACATCCATTTGGCTGATAATCCTGCTCTTTGGCAGTCTTGGCAAAACCTTGTACCTCTAGAAGCCTCTTGTTAGCTGGCTATTTGCTACTGAGAAAGGATCCGTTATCATCATCAGTGAATCAGGCGAGCCGGCCCTGAGAGAGCAGGGCAGGGGAGGGTAGGTTTCAGTGCAGGGGGCTTGAAGAAACATGGAGGAGACACTGCCCAGAGGAAGCCAGGTGGGGTGCCCTGTAATGTGTCAGCGGGGACACAAGGGGAAGGTTGGGGTCCGTCGAAGGGCTGGAGGAGGGGAAGCTCCGGACTAGGAGATTGAAGGCTCTGCCATGTGCTTCCTGTGTGACTTTGGGCAGGTTGCTTGGCCTCTCTGAGACTCATTTTCCCCACCTCACAGGGAGTTGGGAGGAAGTGATTAGGCCATGTCTGAGCAAGGCCTTAGGAAACCGGGACGGTCTGCACCAACATGCAGAGAGAAGTAGGGAGGACTCACTTGGCACCACCCCTGCCACAGGCATCTCCGGTGGCCAGCGGCCGCAACAGATGCTGGGTGGGGGGTGGGCAGGGGGGCTGCAGGCTGAGCTTCTCCCTCCCATCCCAGGAAGGGTCACCCTATCCAACGTGTCCGAGCGGAAGGACAACATGCGCCTCGGCCTGAGCCTAGCCACCAACCCCAAGGACAACAGCTTCTTGGTAAGAGCCACCCGCCCCTCCCTCTCTCCAAGCCCCAGCCCTCCTGCCCCAGGGGCCCTCCAGCCCCATGGACCCTCCTCACGGAACCAAGAGAGGCCTGGTCTGACTGTGTCCTCACACACACTCTCACTCTATCCAACAGGCTGCTGCCCACACGCACCACTCCGCTAGCTTCCTGTCTGGCCACTCTGGCTGCTGTGCCCTAAATTTTGGGGGGCAGGGACAGTCCAGACAAGAAAAAGGGTTGATCCCTTTTACACACATACCCTGAAGATGGGGGACAGAAATCCTGGAAAGGAGCAAAAATAAATAAAGGCCAACAGTCCATTGGGGGCCCAGCCCTCTATCCAAGACAGAGGCCGAACCTCTGCTCCAGATTTGATCAAAGAAATAGGACACACCCTAAAGAGACTTTGAAGGGAAGCAAAAAATGAGTGAACACAGAGTTACTACAACCAGGGAAAGGCTACCAAGTGATGGACCACCTGGACTGCTCAGGACTAGAGGGAAGGCTTCCCAGGGGAGGTTTCTCTGGGTTTTTTTTTAAAAAGAATAAACAGGCCTTAGCAATGAAGAAAGAGGCGAGGGTACTTGGGCTGAGGTGATAAAGACATTCATTCATTTGAACAATTATTTTGAGCACTCTCAATTCACTGAGCCAACGCCAGGCACTGGGACTCAGCAGTCAGCAGAGCTCCTGCCCCTGCAGTTTACATTCTGGTCTGAAGGGTCTACAGTAAGCAAATGAGTGACGTAAACAGGGTGCTGGGACAGAAAGGCAGCAGCGGGTCATGCGTGGAGGTCTCTGCATCCTGCCCGGGTGAGCAGACACGGGCTTTGCACGCAGGTGGCATGAGAGAGGGGAACTGCCTGCTCCTGGCCACCACGTTCCAGTGAATCACCAGGACTTTGGGTGAAGCTGGGGGTTCAAAACAGGATCCTCTGGGACTTACTCCTAGAAACTCTGCAAAAGAGGATTTTAGGGAAAAATTACCCCAGAAAGCCCAATAAAGTGCATCACTCGTAAGATGGGAGGGCTTGTGTCACCCTCTGCCCTTGTCCATCAGTTCATTTCTGTTGACAGATGAGACATCTGGGGTATGGAGCACCAGGCACTAGAGCAGCAAGATGACTGGGAGGCTCAGGGACTTGTGGAGAGCATAGTGGCCCTGCTGGTGCAAGTCCTGAGATGCTCATTGATACTCTCTGGGACCTCTGTGCGTAGGCTAAGTCCCTGATATATAAATAGCAACTTCTTAACTCATTAAGTCATCTATTCATCCTTACACTCATCAGTCCCCATCCAATCGTCCATCTCTCCATTTATCTATCCATCCATCCATTCATTCATTCATCCACTCATCCATCTGTAGATGTATCCACCCCCTCATCCTCCATCCTTTCATCCATCCCATCTTACATCCATCCATCATCCATCTATTGAGCCATCAATCATCCTTCATATATCATCTGTCTACATCCATCCATCATCCATCTATCGAGCCATCCATCATCCTTCATATATCATCCGTCATGCATCACCCATCATCCATCATCCATCATGCATCTTCTATCATCCACCTATCCATCCATCGATCCTTTCATCATCTATAATTCACCCTCCCATTCTTTGTTCTCCCCCTACTTCCAAAAATAACCTATAGCAGTTTCAACAAAGGATACCAATAAAACCAAGCCTTTAAAATCTGAGTAAAAATAGAAAGCTAATTAAATGAAGGGATTGGAAGGAGAATAAGTATTCCTCCAAACCAAAGGAAATCACAGCACAAAATTTAGCCTGGTTTCCCAGCAGCAGGAGAAAAATCGAGACATGGAGCTGGGCTTTCATTTTTGATGTCTGACTCTAAGAAGAACTCATCACCCAGTCTTTACATGAGGCATAGAGAACAAAGTTTTTGGTAGCAAATTTCAGAGAAAGAGCAGAGACGCTCTGTTTTCCTCCCCTAGTAAGAACCATGGGCATGTTCTCAGGACGGAGCCCTGGAAGTTGGCCCAGTAAGGACCTCCAGGTGACCTGTTCAGACAGAGTCCATTCCCACGGATGAAAAGACTTTCCAGATCCTGTGTGGTAGGTGGGTGAGCAGGTAGAAGAGGAACAACCCTAGATGGTGGGATGGAGACCCTTGCAAATAGGAGAAAGAGGACTCTAAGATGCGTTTTTCTCTATTCCACCTGAAACCAAGGGAACTGGCAGCAGAGTTCAGGTAAACTCAAAGAAGACCCTCTAGAGCCTGGGAACACCAACACTGGAAAGGAGTTCCGTGTTGGGTCATGGAGGTTGGGACTAGGCTGCAGGCTGTGGAGCCTGGACCCACCCTGAAAGGCCCCCAGTGACTAGGGGTCTGTACTATGCTTCCAGGCCTGCAGCCCCCTCTGGTCTCACGAGTGTGGAAGCTCCTACTACACCACAGGGATGTGTTCGAGAGTGAACTCCAACTTCAGATTCTCCAAGACCGTGGCCCCAGCTCTCCAAAGTAAGTGGCTTCGACTCTGCAGACTCGGGCTGAGCAGCCGGCAGTCGCTGGGAGGCGCAGGGCTCTGACCACCGCTCTCCTGCAGCTACAAAGCAGCGCTTGGACTCTAGCCTCACCCTGCTCTGGCTCTGGGGGTGACCAGGGACAATTCACTTGACCTCTCTGGGCCTCTGTGGGGTCATAATCTTGTCCCCCATCCCCACAGAGTGATGGTGGAGGGCAAATGAGCTAAGGTTATGGAGGCAATCCTGGTGGCCAGGGAGGCTCACTGCAAACCCAGCCTGAGTGAGGAAGAAGTGGCTGGGCCACCGTGTACAGCAGGCAAGCTACGCACTGCACAATTCTGGGGACCCCGTTCACTTAGACTACAGTGTGAATGGTGCCCTTTGATGTTCATGCCACACAGTTGCCTGTAGCTGGAAGACCAGGAGAACAGAAATATCCCTGGTAATAGTCCCGTCGAGCCAGTGTCTCTGGACCTTAGGAAGCTCTGCCCAGTTTGCCCAGAGCCTCATGGAACACTGAACCCCATGCTCATTCCACACCTGAAAATCTGGGAAATGAAGCTCAGACTTTGCCTCCTGCGAGCCCAGACTGCTTGGCTCCAAGCCTCACTGTTTCCTCTGGGCTAAACAGCATCGCCCCAGCAGCTGCTGCCGCTTTATTGCGGGTGAGGGGATTGGTGAGGGGATTAGTGCCTCTGGCCAGCTGCAGCCTCCCTCCAACAACAGGGCCCAGTCGGGGTGGAAAGATGGTGCTTGTGGGAGGGACAGGGAAGCAGCATCCTAGCGGGGGCTGGAAAGGGGTTGTCTTAGGGCGATGGGGAGGCATTGATTCTAGTCTCACAAAGTAGGAGAGGAAAAGGCAGTGCTGGGGCTTTGAAGGAGGCCGAGATATGTACAGGGAACATCACCACCCTCCCCACCCCCAGCCCCCAGGGCTGCTATTTCCTCTCACCAAGGTGACAAGCTCAGCCCCTCTGGAGGCTCCTGTGGGGAGGCCTCCCACCAGCTGACCAGCAGCAGGGCCCAGGGAGCTTATCCCATACAGAGCCCAGGGCGCTTCCAAGCTTCCACCTCAGTGGACCTGAGATTAGCCCAGGTGTGTGTGTGTGTCTGCGCGCGTGTGTGTCTGTCTGTGCGTGTGTGTGTCTGTGCATGTGTGTGTGCGTGTGTGCATGTGTGTGCATGCGTGTGTGCGTGTCTGTGTGTGTCTGTGCATGTGTGTGTGTCTGTGTGTGTGCCTGTGCGTGTGTGCGTGTGTGTCATTCATCCACTCATCCAACTGTAGATGTATCCACCCCCTAAACACTCAGTGGAGTGTTTAGCCATGTTTAGGAAACACAGACTAAAGCAAGATTCTTCCCAAGACATCTAATATTAAAAGTTTCTTCAATTACAGTGGAACCAATATTATATTGGTTTCAGGTGTACAGCATAGTGTTTCAACCTTTATGTAGCTTACAAAGTGATCCGCAGTTAAGTTTATTCCCCCCCCAATACCATATAGTTATTACAATATTATTAACTATTCCCTATGCTGCACTACTGTGTAATTACCAATTTGTACTTCTTAATCCCTTCCACTTTTTACCCAGTCCCCCACCCCCAATTTGTTTGTTCTCTGTATCTATGAGTTTGTTTCTGTTCTGTTTGTTCACTTATCTTGTTTTTTAGATTCCACGTATAAGTGAAATCATACAGTATTTGTCTTTCTCTCTCTGACTTATTTCACTTATCATAATTCCCAAGGTATCTTAAAAAAAAAGAATTTGAAACTGTAAAAAAAAATAACCAACAATAATAAAGGCATTTTAATAGTAAAAACTTGCTTTAAAAATCAAAAAAAACCTGGTCTCTACCCTTAGATCAGCAACCCCTCTGAATGAAGGCATTTTAGTCTTGGCCACCTCTATGGCCGCCCCATCACATGGTGCCCCACACATGGCGGGGGCTCATCCACGTGTTGAGCTAAACCAAACTGGGAAAGGACAAAGCCATCTGGTGCTGTCAGCCCGGGAATGTCAGGCCATCATAGCTGTACACAGCGTGCAGATGGGAGGAGAATGTCACGTCGCCTAAAACCAGCGGTTCTCAACCTGTGGGTCGCGACCCCTTTGGGGGTCGAACAACCGTTTCACAGGGGTCGCCTAAGACCATCGGAAAACACATATATAATTTAAGCAGATGCCCAATATCTCAATATGATATAACATATACGTATATTGTACAGTACATGTTGTACCAGATGATGTCTTATTTCAAAGTAACCATTTGCAAACAGAAATAAATTGCTTAGGTTTTTAAAAGAAGTTTTTTACATTTATTTATATAACCAATGTTTCATTAGGTTGTTTTTGTTGGTTTCTATCATTCATTTTAACTTGGCATTAACATTACAAAAATACGGAGAAACCTTCATGTCAGAGTGGAGATACGGGCATGAGAGCTTGACCCAGGATATTATTGCCACATTAACAAAGTGGTTTGCTTTTTTGTTAACCCTCACTCAAGGATATTTTTCCACTGTTTTTTTTTAGAGTGGAAGAGAGGGAAACACAGAGGGAAATATCGATGTGAGAGAAACACATCCATTGCTCGCCTCCGGCACACGCCCTGACCAGGGTCCAGGCCGGGGAGAAGCTTGACCAGAATAGAACCTGGGACCCTTCGGTCCGCAGGCCGACCCTCTATCCCCTGAGCCAAACTGGCTAGGGCCAAAGTGGTTTGCTTTTAAAGAAAAATAATATCAGCTAAGGTTTCTGAGGCACGTACTTGGGGCTCAGCCCTCTAGAAGCATCATCTGGTGGATTCCTCATGGCAGTTCTCTGCTATCACTATGCCCATTTTACAGAAGAAAAAACTGATGCCAAGATGTTAAGTGGCTTGCCCGAGGTCAACGCCAAGAGTCAAACAGATTCCACACTCCTAACCTTTACACCAGGGATCCTCAGACTATGGCCCGCGGGCCACATGCAAATACAAATATTGTATTTGTTCCCGTTTTGTTTTTTTACTTCAAAATAAGATATGTGCCGTGTGCAAAGGAATTTGTTCATAGTTTTTTTTAAACGATAGTCCAGCCCTCCAGCGGTCTGAGGGACAGTGAACTGGCCCCCTATTTAAAAAGTTTGAGGACCCCTGCTTTACACCATACCACCCTCCAGAAAAGTGAAACCCATTCATTGGGGGTGAAAGGGGTAAATGCCAGCCTGCACATTACAGCAAAACAAATGATAACCCGGTACCGCTCTGGACAGGGTCGGCTGCCTCCGAAACATGGGCTCGCTGACGGGGGCCAGCCCCGGTGAGCAGAGTTCCCGAGGAGCAGAGGCAGCGGGTGTGACTACGCTTCCTTCACACAGCCAGCACTGAGCTGTGGAGCAGAGCCAGGGCTTCCTGCCCCAGGACAGCTCCCCGGCCCCGGGAATTATGCACACGTAATGGTCCTTCCGACAGTCCTCTGGAGAATCAGCAGACACTGACCCCACGCGTAGCTGTGACTGTCCCCATTTCCCAGGGTGCCAGACCTACATGGACATCGTCATTGTCCTGGACGGCTCCAACAGCATCTACCCCTGGGTGGAGGTCCAGCACTTCCTCATCAACATCCTGAAGAAGTTTTACATCGGCCCCGGGCAGATCCAGGTGAGCGACTCGGGCTCCTTCCTCCTCCGAACAGGGCCCCCCAAACCCATGACAAGTGCTGCCTGGGAGTGCAGGGATGGGGAGGGGGGGCGTTGTGGGGAGCATCTTTATATGAGCTAAGAAGGTGTAGGGGAAGGGCCAGCACCAGGGCCCCCATCTCTGCTGGGCCCATCCAGTTTGGGGGAGACCTTCCTTCCCGGGTCAAACACTGGGACAGTCACCACCGATTAGGAAAGAGTTTGCCCAGCTACCGAGTCGGAAGGAAGGCGGGAGTGAGGAGTAGCACCAGAGCCCTGCTGCGTGAGGCACGGGGAGAGTCAGGCATGTGGATCTTAGAGAAGAGACTAGGAAGGAGGCATGGCTGCCAGCACATATGGAAGCACCGCCGGGCTAAGGGGGGGGACTTGTTCCACATGGGCTTTGGCAGGCCAGACAAAGACTACCGGATAGAAGGTCCAAGGTGGCAGATTTCAAATCCATCTAAGGCAGCGGTTCTCAACCTTCCTGATGCCGCGACCCTTTAATACAGTTCCTCATGTTGTGGTGACCCCCAACCATAAAATTATTTTCGTTGCTACTTCATAACTGTAATGTTGCTACTGTTATGAATCGTCGTGTAAATATCTGGTATGCAGTATGTATTTAGGCGACCCCTGTGAAAGGGTGGCTCGACCCCCGAAGGGTCGCGACCCACAGGTTGAGAACCACTGATCTAAGAAGTTATTTTGTAATGATTAGAGCTGTTAAAAAGGGAGTGGGCTTTCTTAGGAAGTAATGAGTTACCCAGCACTGGAAGATCTTTTTGTCTTTTTTGTTGTTGTTAATCCTCACCTGAGCAGGGTCAGGACTCACAGGTTGAGAACCGCTGATCGAAGAAGTTATTTTGTAATGATTAGAGCTGTTAAAAAGGGAGTGGGCTTTCCTAGGAAGTAATGGGTTACCCAGCACTGGAAGATCTTTTCGTCTTTTTTTTTTTTTTTTTGGTTAATCCTCACCCTATTTTCCATTGATTTTTTTAGCAAGAATGGAAGGGAAGAAGAGGGGCAAAGTGAGAGAAAGAAATCAATCTGAGAGAGACACATTAATTGGTTGCCTCCCGCACATGCCTGGCCAGGGCTGAGGATTGAACCTGCAACCCAGGTATGTGCCTTTGCCCAGGAATAGAACCCGGGACCCTTTGGTGTGTGGGCTGATGCTCTAACCGCTTAGCGACACTGGCCAAGAATGGAAGGGAAGAAGGGGGGCAAAGAGAGAGAGAGAAATCAATCTGAGAGAGACACATCAATTGGTTGCCTCCCGCACATGCCTGGCCAGGGCTGAGGATTGAACCTGCAACCCAGTTATGTGCCTTTGCCCAGGAATAGAACCCGGGACCCTTTGGTGTGTGGGCTGATGCTCTAACCGCTTAGCGACACTGGCCAGGGCTGGAAGATCTTTCAGGGTGTTGTGGGTGAATCCAGCGTTAGAAATGCACTTGTGCCAAACAAACTCTGGGCCCACCCAGCAGTAACGTTTCATCGTTCTAATGCTGCTATAGGTCTTCAGGTTCATCTTGAAGTTATTAATATTATTAATATTGTTGATATTTTATCAACCTTGGGAGTAGAACCTTTCCTCTTCCAAGGTTTAAAGAACCTTAGCTCTAGAATTGGGTGGACAATGCCATGGCCTCCACCCCTGCTACTCCTAATATTTTAGATTTCCGTTCTATTCTCAACTTGTGTCTTTTTAAGCGAGAAACTTAACCTGTTGGGCTTTTCTTTAAGCCACACTCTCCTCTCACGATATGCGCCTCCCACTTGTCTCACCAAGCCCTCCGTCCATTCCCAGAACTTTTCATTACCTGCTTCTCCTTGGTTTGGGAAGTTCCCCAGCCCTCCTCGCTCCTGAAGAGCCACAGGCAGACAGACGACTCCAGGCAGCCTCCCCACAGGAGGTCTAAGTTCCGGGGGTCAGGATGTCCCCACGCCCTCTCCTCTAACTTGCAGGTTGGAGTTGTTCAGTACGGAGAAGACGCCGTGCATGAGTTCCACCTCAATGACTACAGGTCTGTAAGAGACGTGGTGGAAGCTGCCAGCCACATTGAGCAGAGGGGAGGAACAGAGACCCGGACGGCATTTGGCATAGAATTTGCTCGGTAAACAAAAAAAGAAAGAACAAAATTTTAATTGTTTTAAATCTCAGCTATCACTCTAGTTATATATTGCTGTGTAACAAATCTCCACAAAAAGTAGTTCCTTGAGACAATAATTTATTAATTCCTCCAAGTTCTGGGGATTGGCGGGGCTCAGCCTGTCAGCTCTCTCTTGGATTTTTCTCGTGTGTCAGCTGGGGCTGTTGTCATCTGAAGGTTCGACTGGACTGGACGTCCAAAAGGGCACCCTATGTGCCTAGCAGCTGACGCTGGCCGCTGGCTGGGAACTCAGCTGGGGCAGGCGAGCTGAGCACACACGCGTGGCCATAGGGCCTGGTTTTCTCATAATATGGCGGCTGGGCTCTGAGAGACAGCAACTCAAGAGTGAGTTTTCCCAGAGACCCACACAGGAACTCTGGGACTGCCCATGAGTGTGCCTAGCAGCTGATGCTGGCCGTTGGCTTGGAACTCAGCTGGGGCAGGCGAGCTGAGCACCCACACGTGGCATAGGGCCTGGTTTTCTCATAATATGGCGCCTGGGCTCTGAGAGACAGCAACTCAAGAGTGAGTTTTCCCAGAGACCCACACAGGAACTCTGGGAATGACCTCGCTGCAGAAGTCCCAGAATCTAACTTTGATTGAGCAAGTCACCAAAGCCAGCCCAGATTCAAGGGGAGGGGAATTTGAGTCTGCCTCCTGATGGAGGACTGGCAAGGTCACAGTGCAGGAGAGCATTTACAACGGGAAATATTGTTGCCGCCAACTTTGGAAAACCCGCTCTGCCACAGTGACCCCGTGAAAAGTGTGTGGGCTCTACAAGGGCAGAATCCTCCTGTGTCATGTTTGTCATCCATGGAGTGTGGAGCACATCGCTAAGTCAGGCATCTGAGAGTGCAGAGTAACGAGGCTGGTTCCTTAAAAATCACACCAGCACTCCCTCCTCAGACTCTGTCCACACAGAGGCTACGTCTTTATTCCAGTGATGCTGCCACCACTCAGAACATTGTGCTCATCCCCCCACCCCCCACCCCCCTACACACACTGAAATCAGGGAGTGACTTAAAGGCAAATCCCCAAGACCTTTTAAGCTGAGGCCTAACCTCCTAAGAGGACTGTATCCCAGGTCTGCAGATTTTAAATTGTAAATTTCACACCTACGAACATGAGTTCCGCTTTGTTCATTGAAACCACAGTCCCGGTTCCTTACAATCCCACCTCTCATAGGGTTAGTCCTGTGGTCGGCAAACTGTGACTCGCGAGCCACATGCGGCTCTTTGGCCCCTTGAGTGTGGCCGCGAAGTTTCAATAGCACTGTACGTGCGCGCCCGCACGTGGTATTTTGTGGAAGAGCCACACTCAAGGGGCCGCAGTTTGTCGACCACTGGGCTAGTCAGTGTGTTTACCAGAATTCCGCAGTTAGAGTATATAGGAGTAACAGGACTTCATGCAGTCAAAAGGTGTTTTTTTTCCAGCCTTACAAGCCTTTGAGATTAAGTTACTGCTCCACTGGCGTATTTCTGTGCTGCTAAAACTTGCTTGAGCTTTTCCCTAAATGAGCATCCCTCCGTGTGAACGTGGCTCTTGCTCTTCTCACGAGTTACAGGCCATTTTGCTGTTTTGTCATCATTGGGATGAGCCCCTGAGGCCCCAGCAGGGGATTGTGAAATGCGGGGAGAGGGGTGGGGGGACCAGGGAGAGGCAGCCTGTGCCCAGGGAGCTATCGCTTCCTCAGTGTGAGCCCCACTGTTCTGCTCTCATTTCCCAGCCCACCAACTGCAGGGCGATTGGAAGTGTGTGACTCAACAGGTAGTTTGAACCAGTTATGACTCATGCAACCACTGGGGTGTGCAGTCTGCTCTTGCAGCGACGTGTGAAATACGATCTTCGCAGCCGGCCAAGTTTGGGTCCCAAATTATAGCCAGTGCCTCTGAGGGTAGAAGGTTTTCTCTCCTCGCCCATTTACTCACAGTGCGTGTTTGCCGTGCACCTACGGAAGTACAAAGAGCCAAGCAATGGACTTGAGGGCCTCTACTTATTGTCAGCCTAACTCAGTGAGGATGAGAGGAGGGACCCCAGGAAGGGGCCAGGGAGGAATGCCAAAACGGGTGGCACTTGGCCTGTTCTAGGAGGACTCCAGGATTCCAGCAGGGACAGGTGGACAGAAGACTTTCCACAAAAGAGCTGCCCGGATTAGGACAGAGGATGGGGACCGCGGAGGAGCATTAACATTGGGAGCCATGCTCTGACCACAGCCCAGTGTGGCTGGAGAGGGGAGAGCGGAAGCCAGGGCTCTGAGAAATAACGGGACCGGACCCTGAAGGCTCCGGTGGGCCAGTGTCAGGGCCTGAGAGCCACGGGAACCATTGCAGGTTCTGAGCAGGAAGGAGGCATGACGTGACCTACTTTTCCACGGGGTCACTCTGGCTTCTGGGTTCGTGGAGCCTGTTGTGAGTTTAACGCTCTCACTGCATTCCAGGAACTTGTCATCTGATTTACAAAGGAACAAAGCCAAGTCTTTTGCACAATACAAATCACTATTTTAAATCTGATGATTCATGCCAGCGTTCACCCTATTGCAGATTCACACAGATATTCACACTATGCCACTATATGGAAATGCGATCCTGAAATTGTTCCTCGCTTTTTCCTTGCTACATATTTTGCGTGGAGTTGTTTCAGAGCCTGGCCCTCTGATGATGTCATGGAAGCACCTAGAACAGGGGTGGGCAAACTTTTTGACTCGAGGGCCACAATGGGTTCTTAAACTGGACCGGAGGGCCGGAACAAAAGCATGGATGTTGTGTTTGTGTGAACTAATATAAATTCAAAGTAAACATCATTACATAAAAGGGTACAGTCTTTTTTTTCAATAGTTTTATTCATTTCAAACGAGCCGGATCCGGCCCGCGGGCCGTAGTTTGCCCACGGCTGACCTAGAATCTCCTTTAAGGAGTTAGCAAAGTTCTCCCTCCAATGGGTCGGACTTCAGCCCTAGTCATGCAGAGTCCGCCTCTGCGCCCCTTTAGTTCCCAGCTCATACTAAAATTAGAGAATTTTTTGGTCAGCATATTCAGAATATCGAGTTGCTAAGAGAATGGCAGATGGTCTGTTTCTCCTAGCTGGTAGCTTGAGGGTGTTCTGGCCTAATGTATTCACCTTTGTGAATGCCTCAACATCTAAATCACCCACATCAGCTCATCCGCTTGCTGTGAAGCAAGAGATACTTTCAGTAACCAAAGCCGGAGACCGGCTTTCACCTAGCCTTGTGGAGCTTAAACCTGTGGGTAGATCCACAAGCAATCATTGCAGGGTAACATTTATTTTTAGATCCTTATTGGCAAATTCTACCTGCTGGGCCAGCCTCTCGGGCCAGACCATGTCTGCCCTTCTCAGAACCTCACAGTCTGAAGGAGGGTTGGCCACAGAGGCACCGAGAGCCAGTGATGGCTCAGGAGCCAATTTTCCATGCTTCCAGCTGCAGGAGTCTTTCCGCAGCTCCGAGGGGTAGGTGTGCCAGCCCCGACCCTACCCATCGCCTGGCTGGATTGCCCAACAGGCTGGCCACGTGCCTGATCCCGGCACTGAAAACAAAATAAGAAGCGAGAGCAGGAAGGTTTGCCGTGGAAGTTGATATTTAATAGTTCCCAAATAGAATCGAAGTTGTCCTCATGGGAGAAATGAGAACCTGGTCGGCTTCACTGCAGGGATTTTGCGGATTACAGTCGTTTGGGCGTTAAGTTACTCAGACGCGGCACATGTACGGGACTCGCCCGGGGCAGTGGGTCTCCATGCCCGTGCTCATGAGAACTTTGAAAAAGACTGGTGCCCAGGCCACGCCCTGAGATTCTGACTTCAAGAGCTGGGTAGGGCTTAGGCATCACTTTTGTTTTAACTCCCCAGGGGACTCTAATGTGCAGCTAGGGTTTTGAACCACCAACTTAAGGCCTCAAAGGGTCTCCACCTGACCCTGAACTCCCCTCCCAAGCTCACCCCATCTGCTTGCCCAAAACAGCATGGTCAGGATCCTACAGGGGCTTTTTAAGGTCATTTTTTAAAGATAAGCAGTGGCCTGGGCATCTCAACCCTGCTTTTCTGTGGTTCGAGGTCTCAGAACCTTCTGGGTTGCTGAAGATAAGGAGGGGGTGGGAGTTGGCCCTGGTTTCTGGGGCTGCCCCATCCCAGTGTCCCTCTTGTGACCTCCAACCCCCCTGTGCTCGGGTTTCAGTTCAGAAGCTTTCCAGAAGGGAGGAAGGAAAGGGGCCAAGAAGGTGATGATTGTCATCACGGATGGGGAGTCCCACGACAGCCCGGACCTGGAGAAGGTGATCCAGCAAAGCGAGAGAGACAACGTGACCAGATACGCTGTGGCCGTGAGTCCTCTCCCGCCTGTCTTGCCCCTGCCCCTGCCCACAGGCTGCCAGCTGGCTCACAGAGGCTTCACCATCAAACCCCGGGGACCCCAAGGGGGCACTTTCTGGGCAGCAAGCAAGCTGTCCGGGCCCTCAGATGGGCCTCTCCTTGCTTCACCTTCTAAAGAGCAAGTTGCGCATCTCCCTTTGCTCTGCCTGGGCCTGTCCACGTAGCCATGGAGAACTTCGTGAGGTGCTGAAGCCTCAGGAAACTAGAAACTCTCCAGCCTCCCGACCCCGGGAACCCGATCTTAGAACAGGGCTGTCTCTGGCCCTTCTAGACAGGCAATAGGGTGGTGAAGGCCTGGGTGGAGGGGGGCCATGAAAGGGGAGAGGGGGCATAATTTAAAGATTACAAAAGTACATTTAAAAGTACATTTAAATGCAAATGGGGTTTGGGGGACCACTTGGGCCCGCCCTGGGCCTCCCTGGGCGCCCGCGATTGTGCAGGAAGTCTGTGCTATGTCCTGGCTTGTTGCCCCACCTTGTTCCCTGGCAGGTCCTGGGCTACTACAACCGCAGGGGGATCAACCCAGAGACTTTCCTAAATGAAATCAAATACATCGCCAGTGACCCCGATGACAAGCACTTCTTCAACGTGACGGATGAGGCGGCCCTGAAGGACATCGTCGATGCGCTGGGGGACAGGATCTTCAGCTTGGAAGGTGCGCCATTCGGACAGAAGGGCACGGGTTCCGGGGGTCACAGCAGGTGAAGACCCCAGAGGGAAGCCCACCCCACAGAGTGAAGTGGCCCTCCCTTCACAGTCAGTGCCATCAATGGCCTGTTACTGTGCTGGACACAGGCCGTGCACTTTCCCAACAACCCGGGGAGGTGGTTTTGCTGGTCGCCTCCTCCTCGACCACTGAGGAAACTGGAGCGCAGAGGAGCTGAGTGACTTGACAAAGCACCACGGCTTGAGAAGGGGCTGCGGCTTGACTGAGAGTCACCAGATTCAGCAAATATAAAATACAATATTTGTGGCAGGTTTATACTAAAAAAAATGATTCGTTGGTTGTCTGAAATTCAATAGCTGAGTGTCCTGTATTTTCTCTGGCAACCTTAGTTTGAACCCAGCTGGACTGACTCCGGAGCCTAAAACACTAACCCCGACTCCCAGCACTTTCTTTTCTTGTTTTTAATATGTTTTTATTGATTTCAGAGAGGAAGGGAGAGAGAGAAACATCAATGAGGAGAGAGAATCATGGATCGGCTGCCTCCTGCACGCCCCACCCTGGGGATCAAGCCCGAAACCCAGGCATGTTCCCTAACCGGGAATCGAACCGTGACCTCCTGGTTCATAGGTCGATGCTCAACCACTGAGCCACACCGGCCAGGCTGCCATCGCACTTTCCGCAGGGCTCCTTCAGATGCCTCCCTACGACCTACACTCCAGTGTGACTGGCCTTCTATTTGCACCATATACTGGGGCAGAGGGCCCTCTCCACACTGGGCTTGCCATGTAGGAGGTTAGAAAGCAGTGTCCCCAGGCCTGAGCAGTCTGCAGAGCACGGGAGCAACCAGCTACAGGCACACGAAGGAGACAAAAGACAGTCCTCCTGAACAAGGATAAATAGAAAGTATGAACCTGTGTGTTGACACTCACACTAGAACTTAAACATCCAAGTCACTGTATTTCTCCTCAAAATGGCCCCCTCGGGCAACAAGAGCATTGGCCCTGATGGCAAGTTTGGAAGGGCCCCCTGGGGGAGGGCTTTCAGCACGCACGAGGTTTCTTGTGCAAATCTGGGCGGTGGCATCTCCTCTGAGGGCCTAGCTGATGTCTGGGAGTCATCCAGGGGCAGCTGGAAGCGACCATGGTGAACGAGCGGAATGAGCAAAGTAGGAAATTCCATTTCTTGCCCAAAACAATTTCTTTCCATGCACCTCCCTTGATCTTTCCCCAATGCTGACAGCCTTCTGGTAGACGTGCCCTGTAATATGTTGCCCCAGGCGCTTTCCAGCAGGGAGTGGGCCACTAATAACCCCGCACGACCCCTGGAAGTGCTCGTGCCTCCCTGGCAGGTGCCTGCCGCTGGGCAGACAAGGCGGGGCTTAGCCTCAGAGCCCTTACCTCCCGGTGCTCCCTGGGGAGCCGTGCTGTGGATGACGGGTGCTCCCTGGGGAGCCGTGCTGTGGATGACGCTGCAGCTGTGTGGGCACTAAGCCATCAGGCATGGAACTGACCTCCCTCTCTCCCTGTCTTAGGCACCAACAAGAACGAAACGTCCTTCGGGCTGGAGATGTCACAGACGGGCTTCTCCTCTCACGTGGTGGAGGTACGGACGTTCACAGCCAGCCTGCCACACACGCAGGGCTCCGGGCTATCACCCCGCCTTCCTGGGCTGTCTCGGTCCCCTTTTCTCTTGTTCTTGGAGTCGCTCTGCCTCCCGTGTTCTTGATTGGAAGAGGGAAGTCAAGGTCTACAACTTACAGTGAGCTGTCGCTCCCTCCCCGTGCAGAGTGCCGACGGGGACATTTCCTTCAGGACCCGCGGTCCCATCTAGTCCACAGAGCCTTGTGTACACACTAGGCCAGTGATGGCGAACCTTTTGAGCTCAGCGTGTCAGCATTTTGAAAAACCCTAACTTAACTCTGGTGCCGTGTCACATATAGAAATTTTTTGATATTTGCCACCATAGTAAAACAAAGACTTATATTTTTGATATTTAGTTTATATATTTAAATGCCATTTAACAAAGAAAAATCAACCCAAAAAATGAGTTCACGTGTCAGAGGTGTCATAGGTTCGCCATCACTGCACTAGGCCAACTCGGCAAACCACTTGCACATGTTCTCACAGGGCCCGCATGTGGCCGAGGAGGCCCTGCGTGCAGGGGAGGGGGCCGTGCGTGCAGGGGAGGGGGCCCGTGCGTGCAGGGGAGGGGCCCGTGCGTGCAGGGCAGGGGGCCCGTGCGTGCAGGGGAGGAGGCCTGTGCGTGCAGGTGCGCAGCCCTGAGGCGATGTTGGAGGGTGTCCAGAGGTGTCCGATGTGCTCTGGCGGGCGCCCACGTGGGCCCCCTTTCGGCACAAACTCAGCATCAGGTGACAGAGGCCCCAGGTGGGCACCGGGTGTCACACACAGCGTGTCGTGTCTGGAGCTCTGCATCGCAGGCCGAGTCTCAGGCTGCCCCTCCCCCTCTGCACTCACCTGGTTCTGATTCACAAGCCGGGCTGCGACCTCACAGGATTGCCAGAGGGCCCGAGGGACCGCTACCAGAGAAAACACTTTATAAGCTGCTTGTGTATGAGCCCGCCTGGGAGTACCGCGTGCAGGGAGGCCCCGTGGGGAAAGCCTGGATGTGTCGGTATCAGCACCAACCCTCGTGGGCGTGCTCTTCACAGACAGGTGTCTCTGGTGT